TTCATAAAAGTCACAACTCTTCATAAAAGTCACAACTCTTCATAAAAGTCACAACTCTTCATAAAAGTCACAACTCTTCATAAAAGTCACAACTCTTCATAAAAGTCACAACTCTTCATAAAAGTCACAACTCTTCATAAAAGTCACAACTCTTCATAAAAGTCACAACTCTTCATAAAAGTCACAACTCTTCATAAAAGTCACAACTCTTCATAAAAGTCACAACTCTTCATAAAAGTCACAACTCTTCATAAAAGTCGCAACTTTTCATAAATGTCACAACTCTTCATATAAAAGTCGCAACTCTTCATTTTCCATTCACACCTTTTAAAACCCAACACTCAATATATGGTAGGAAACCTTGATTTAGTAGTAAGATACATAACTATCAAAGACACAACGATTCACTTAGGTTACTGTTAACTAGGGTAAAAAAAAAATTAGTCGTAGGTAATTACTGTTATCTAGGGTCGACAAAAAATTTAGTCATAGGTAACTGTTGACTAGGGTCGACAAAAAAATTAGTCATAGGTTACTGTTAACTAGGGTCGACAAAAAGAATTAGTTTTGTGAGAAAGAATGATCAAATATACTCTTGTACTTTACACGAATGATCAAATATACCCTTATATAAATTTTATTTTAATAAAATTAAAAAAAAAATTAAAATTATTTTTTTCGTTAGCCAAAAAGAGTATATTTGAACCATTTATGTAACGGTAGGAGTATATGTAAACCAACTTTTTAACGAGGATATATCATCTCTAAATCGCAAATTAAAAGATATATTAGGCCTTTTTCCTTTTTATAAATTAAATTTTGGATTTGATGTTGTTAGTGTACTTATCTTTCAATTTAAATCATAAACTTTATCTTCTAATTGTCAATTCAAATTTTATATTATTTATAGATTTTCATTTTTAAAAGGACAAAAAAGAAAAAGTGTATATATATGGGAAAAAAGATAAATATATTTTCGAACTATCGTAAATGGTATGCAAATATCCTATGTCATACTTTTGTGACATTGGTTCCCTTGCCGTCCAAAAACTAGAGCATATATACACTTTATACTAACGCTACACGTGTCATAATCTTATCCACCGACTATTAAATATTGGATCGACGGATAAGATTGTGCCACATGTCCATATTTAGTCTTCCGTTAGAGTGAAGGGCATATATGCTCTAGTTTTTTTATGGCAGAGACACCAATGTCTCAAAAGTATGGCGGAGGATATCTGCATACCATTTACGATGATTCAGGATATATTTGTCCTTTTTCCCTAAATATATTTATCCATCTTACAACATTTGTATGTGCAACAACGTCCCTCAAGTATATATAGTTCCAAGGATAACTTGCTTAAGACAAAAGAGAGCTAACTCTTGTCTTGTTTTCTTCTATAATTTAATATATGGAAAATTACCAATATGAGAAGAAGCCAAGAGTTCTGTACCTCCATGGCCATGCAACTAGTGCTAATATATTGAAGAAAGAATTGGTACTTGGTTGGCCACAATATTTACTTGATAAGCTAGATTTGGTGTTCTTGGATGCACCTTTTTTACTTCAAGATAAAGTGGATGCTCATGACATTTTTTATCCACCCTACTATGAATGGTTCCAAGCTACTGAGGTTCTTCTCCTTTATTGCTATTTTCCATTTTCTTTTGGATGGTCAATTAAGCAGGTTTTATCTTGAAATATTTGTCTTATAAATAAAACCTAAAACTTGTGTCTGATTGATGAACAACAAAAACATAAGTTCTAGTTTTTTTTTCCTTTTATCATCAATTGAGTAGGTTCATTGTCTTGAAATATGTTAAACTTCTATCTTATAAGCAAAATTAATTTATATTCACAATTTATGTCTGATGAGTGACAAAAGGTTTGCCTAGCAAAATTGCTTAAGCGTAGCCTATTTTTAAAAATAATACAAATTTTGGCTTGGGCTATGTATATCTGTCAAAAAAATCTACTAAATATGAACAAATAAATTTGATTGAGGTGATCAAACTATGGATTTAAATTAATATAATTTAAATCTTAAATCTGCTTTTCGCATGAAAATATATAATAAGTATTACAAATCAAATTAAATATATATATTTCAGATAACACACTTCAATTCAAACTCTCTAGATTTTGAATTCACAAATATTACGAGAGGACTTGAGAAAGATTTCAAATTAGAAATCTCAAGAAGAGAAGTTGAATATTTTTATGAATAGATCCATATTTTATGATAAATGAATAATATATGTTTTCATCAAGTGTCATAACATTATATTGTAGGATTACAAGGAAATTTACAATTTTGAAGAATGTATTCAATATATTGAAGCTAACATGGAGAAGTATGGACCATTTGATGGTGTTTTAGGTTTCAGTGAGGTAAGTATTATTATATATTATTGAAAACATCCTAAATTTGACACAAATTATTAGTTTGATTTCTAAACTATTGAAAGCTAGCCTTAAAAACACCTTTTACTTGACTAAATAAACTTAGATACACCTCTGATCTGCCACATGACATATCAAGTGATCTCAAACTCTTGTAAGAGAATGAGACTCTTAATAAAAAGTTGAGAAAAGTATTGAAAACACCCCTAAAGTTGACGAGAATTTAGGGTGTATTTAAGTCATGTAGCATTTAAGTTCAGTTAGTCAAGTAAACAAGTATTCTTAAGGTTGTCGGTCGTTTGAGGATGAAACTAATAATTCATACTGTTTCCAATACTTCTCTCATTGTTATATAATTATATAAGTTAATTAGAAATTTCGTTATACTCCCTCTGTTTCAAAAGGTCTGGTCTAGTTTAACTTGTCACGGAATTTAAGAAAATAAAGAAAGACTTTTGAATCTTGTAGTCCTAAATTAAAGTTATGTCAAATGTACAAAATTGCCCTTTAATCTTGTGGCCTTAAACATGCCACGTGGAAAACTGAAATTAAAATGTTACCAAAAAAGGAAAGAGGTCATTCTTTTTGAAACAGACTAAAAAAAAATAGGTCCTTCTTTTTTAAACCGAAGGAGTATATATATTTTTTTATGTGATTTTAATATTTGTTTAGGGAGCAATTGTAACTGCATCAATGCCTGGAATGCAAAGGGATAGAGTGGCTCTAACCAAAGTCCCAAAAATAAAATTTGTGATGTTAATAGCAGGGGCCAAATTTGGAGGAGTCGCATTGGGATGTCCCAAGCTTGCTTCTAATGCATTTGCATCTCCAATTGAGTGTCCATCTTTGCACTTCATAGGTACTTTTCTTGTCCATTATATTTTTAATTAGTCTATTTAAAAAAAGAATTTTCTTCGTCATACTGTAATCGCGTGTGTTTGAAATTGTGCCAACTGTTAGGACCGAAATAAATTAGGTGTCATGCGGAAGCTAGCAAAGCAAACCTCGAAAGACCATGAGTAAGAAGACAAACGAGAAATATACCAAAAGACACAAAGATTTAATGTGATTCGGTCAATCAACCTACATCCACAAAAGAGATGAGCAATTCACTATATAAATATGAGAGTACAAAATATAGAGAGAAATCATCTCAACCAATTCACTCGGAATACATGGGAGGTTCACACATGTGATAACGTATCAAACTTGTGTCCCACAAATTCTCCCCTTAACCAAAACTCTCAAAGCCCTTAAAACTACATTATAAATGTTGATTAAGTTAGAAGGAACATGCCTCTATTTATAGAGTCCTAAACGTTTTCCTACCATAAAAGGACTAGCCAATCCTAAACATTACCCTAAAACGATAACTTATTTATGGTAAGAAACTCAGGGCAATTAATACCCAACACCAACATCTCAACAAATGATTAGAATCCACTCCGGTGATCTTCACTTCAGTATTCCTCAATTTTAGTTTGAGATGAGAAAATAATCAAATAATTTTCCAACCTATTATCTAATTCCCAATTACATATTTATATTTCATGAAAATCCTATTACTCCCTTGTAATTATGTAAAAAAGGAATTGTTATGACTTCATCTTCTTAATTCTTTGGCTTCCTCTTCACCGTTGATTATTTGCTTATTGTCACCGACAGAGTCAATCAGTGGATGATGAAAATGTTATGACAGGTGTTTCTTATTCATCATGAAAGTGGGTGAGGGAAAGTAACTACCTTCATTAAAGGAGAAATCATATTGTTTGTAAGAAATGATTAAATTAAATTATTTAATTATAACAGAAATATAATAAAAATACTTATTACATATTTTTTTGTTTTTTATTTTTTTAAAAGGAGAGTGAAATATACTTTTTGTATCAATTCAGCACTTAAGGAGCAATTTGTTCCACTTTAAAATAGTATAGAGTGTAATAGAACCCCTCCATAAAATGTAAGTATACAGTTATAATAGGCTAGGACGGATTTACCTTTTTACCCGTTCGATATACATAAAAGCTGAATTTCTAATTTTAGGGCTACAAAAATATATTTATATTTAATTTGAATCTACCAAATAAGATAAAAAAACTTAATTTAATAATATTTTTACGGAATTTTATACTCCTCAAGTTGGTGTGTTGGAGAAAATTTATTTTGAGTCTCACATGCCATGTCATACTTATGCGAGGACTCTTATTTTATGTAACCATGTAAGATATTCAAAAGTTTAGCGAGTTGAAATGACTTTCTCAACAAATTGAATTACGTTGGATGATTTTATTATTATAAAAAAAATTTCGAAAACAACTTTATTGTATCAAAAAACATAACTGTGAACATTTAAGTATTTAATTTATTTCTATTTTTTATGTGTTGTACAGGTGAAAAGGATCCTCATATACTAAATGAAGAAGAACTTGCGGGGTGCTTCGTGAATCCTGTAGTGATTCATTACCCTGAGGGCCACAAAGTACCAAATCTAGGTAATAACTTAATTGTTGTTAAATATGTTTTTTAGATGTAATTACTAATGATGGTTACATTTTTAACATTGTCACTAAAACCTATAGCGACATTAAATCTAATAATAATTAACTAATGTCAGTAAATTTTTTAACCCTTTTTGTTAAGTTGCATATTTATTATTGCTAAAAAGTACTTTTGATGTATCTAACATGATATATACAAGCTATCTCTCTAGCTAAATATGCATAATCAATTTTCTCTTTCTATGTAAAGATTATACTCTACTCCTTTCATCTCATATTAGTTGATCACTTTTCTTTTTACGCGTATATTAAGAAATCATATAGAATGATAGTTTTATCAATTCACCTCTTAAGAACTTCTTTGGAACTTTACAAATAAGTATGCATACTTTCATAAAAAATTAATTGCAAGGGTAGTATGGGAAAAATCAATTAATGTTTTCTTGATTTGGTAAAGTGATCAACTAATATGAGACAGAGGGAGTAATTATTATTGTAGCTAGGTTGTCTTAACTTGATGGTGTGGAATACTCCTTCCGCCTCTATTTGTGTCACGACCCGGGAGCACCCCCAAGTCGTAACAAGGCGTACTCGACCCCGAAGGGGTCTTATACAAGCCACATAGTCCATTCATGCATTCAATAATGAAAATAGTGCGGAATAATAAAATTAAAAAAAAAATTTATTTACATCCACACATTTAAACTTCTTAAAACAACTTTAAAAACACACAGCGGAAGTCTAAGTCTCACATGGCCATCTTAGACACAAACAAAAACATAAATAGGGACACGGCCCTTTACAATCAAAAGAAGTCTATTACATGAACAAAAGAACTTAAAAGGCTTGTCCTCGAATCCATGAGGACATACCAAGTCTTGGAGGAAAGCAATCCAACACTTCAAACTAGCTAAGAGGGATCACTTGCCGGAACCTACACTTGTAGTAAAAACATGAAGAATATGGGTTAGTACACAAAAATGTACTAAGTATGATGACCATGCAAAACATGCTTTAAAAGGGACATTTTAGTTAGAAACCATGCATTATGCCACCTTTTTGAAATATCATGAACAATAGCATAAAAGACATACAAGACAAGCATAACATCAAGTAAGTCATAATATCACCTTTAAACAATATCAACATGAAAACCTTTACCTTGGACCTTCACCTCAAGAAACCCTTATGCTATACCTCGTGCAATGTATGGATGGCGTCCCATACCACCATCCATACTAAGGCACCACATTTAGGTCACTTAAAGTAACTTATCATTCCTTTCTTTCACCTTTGCACAATATTCATACATAAGAGGTATATCATTAATTAAGACATGACAAGGGAAAATAACTCGTAATATAACCCAAGTATAACATGCATAACATATTAAGCATTTAAGAGCCAACATTCTTTAATAACCTCATTTAGGGTACATTCATGTCACAGTCATTAGGATTTAGAGAAACTCACTATGACCCTCTCCAAGCCTACTCGTGCAATGTATAGGTAGCATCCCATACTACTACCTACACTTTGTAGAACCTGTCAAGAAACCATAATGAAATCTCACATGATGGGAAGTAAGCATTTAACCGACATAGACCATGAGAGCTTGTCATGGAATCCGGTGTCATGAGTCCCCACACCGAAAAGAGGTGGTCTACTTGCCTAAGGAAGACCGGTATATATAGCTTAATGGATCCACTAGCTTCCTATGCGGGCACATAGTTTATGGGATAAGGTAGACGATCATTGAAACTCATGCCTAACTGTCGGGGGAGTTTCCATCTAACCAAATCCGCTCGGTGCTTAGCCTACATTCCCATAGAATAGTTCATTACTTTGACATCATCACACATGAAAGGGTGCCATAAGCCTACCGATTCAAGGTACATTATTTAACACATGAAAGGGTGCCATAAGCCTACCGATTCAAGGTACATTATTTAACACATGAAAGGGTGCCATAAGCCTACCGATTCAAGGTACATTATTTAACACATGAAAGGGTGCCATAAGCCTACCGATTCAAGGTACATTATTTAACACATGAAAGGGTGCCATAAGCCTACCGATTCAAGGTACATTATTTAACACATGAAAGGGTGCCATAAGCCTACCGATTCAAGGTACATTATTTAACACATGAAAGGGTGCCATAAGCCTACCGATTCAAGGTACATTATTTAACACATGAAAGGGTGCCATAAGCCTACCGATTCAAGGTACATTATTTAACACATGAAAGGGTGCCATAAGCCTACCGATTCAAGGTACATTATTTAACACATGAAAGGGTGCCATAAGCCTACCGATTCAAGGTACATTATTTAACACATGAAAGGGTGCCATAAGCCTACCGATTCAAGGTACATTATTTAACACATGAAAGGGTGCCATAAGCCTACCGATTCAAGGTACATTATTTAACACATGAAAGGGTGCCATAAGCCTGCCGATTCCAAGGTTCATTACTTATCATTAATGGAAGGGTGCCATTAGCCTACCGATCCAAGGTTCATTTTACATTGAAGAATCCTTCATATTCTATCATCAACATTCATGAGTGTCAAATTGAGAAATAATCTTTCAATAGTAACACATTTACATTCATAACATGATCACATTATCTTCATTGAACTCTCATTCATACAATGTCATGATAACACTTCAATTTCTCATACTATGCCTTCAAGGCCATGGTCACAATGTAACAAACAAGTAAACAATTCTAAGTCAACATTAGCTCCTCATGTCTTGCCTTTAAGGCCATGGTCACAATACATTCCATAATTAAACACCTCCACCATAAGTGGATCAAACCAAGCAAGAACAATTTTATCCATAATATGAGATTAAGCCAATTTACCATCCTCCAAAGCCATAATCAACAACACTCAAGTCCCAACCATTTTACTTACCACAAGAGAATTCCTCCATAACTTGCCCATAAGGCCACAACTTTCAATTCATCCATACATCACCAATCCATCATAGATAGATGTAGAAAATCATAAGATTTTGAGCTATGAGATATGACCATTTAAAGTTGACCCTAACTTACCTAGACCAACTTCTTGACAGCATTGCAGGTTCCATCGACGGCTCCCCATCCACGGACCGTGGATGGGTTGACGCCCCGTACTGCTTCTCCGTCACTAGGTTCAGAGGCTCCCCCCTTGCCGGCCTGATCCACGCCCCCGACCCACGAGCCGTAGATTGATCCACGGGCCGTGGATGGGTCTCGTGGACCAAGCTGTGTTGACAGCTTTTTGGTAGATGTTGGGGTCCTCCTTAAGGGCCCCTCGAGTGGTCTTTAAGGAGTCATACCTGGATGTTTAACCCCTAAACATGATGTTCTAAGCAAGAGAGTCACTTTTACATGTTTTAGCCCTCAAACAACATACCAAACTTCAAAAACACATCTGAGGCTCTATTTCTTCCTATTTCATTTTAGGGTCGCTACAATTTGTTTGTTAAATTTTGACTTGACACGCCTATTAAGAAAATAATTATTAATATGGTGAGTTTAATATTTTACCTCAATTAATTGATAGGGTCCCAAACATATTTACGTACTACATTTTTCAAAGATGTTAACTCAATGTTATTAAATTGAGGATATAATAGAGAAAAAGCATTGTTCTTCCTTGCTTTGCCAGAGATGACAAGTAAAAAGAAAAATCAAATTAGAAAATATTTGACAAGTAAATAGATACGGAGGGAGTAGTTGTTCACTAATAACATAAATCTTCTTCTTTTCTTTAAGAATCAAATAATTAAATTCTAATAATTTTTTTGTGTTTATCATTTAGATGCTGAAAGAACAGAAACTGTGATAGAATTCATCAACAAAGTGAAGAAAATCAAGATGCCATTGCAGGGAAACTCAAAATTGTAACAACAAAGCTAGCAAATGTAATTTGTAACTATAATTTAAATTTAAATCCATTTAGTTTGAAAACTAAATTTGCCCAATAATCTTGAATTGGCCTATACACTTTTGATGTAATAACTTAAACAAATTTTTTTTGTTGAGAAATTTTAATTTGGTATTATTGTGTTGCATTACTATTTGGTATAGTTATATGAACTACAAATTTTAGTACTATGCTCAGGTTCATGACTATGTTACAAGTTACAATTCCTATTTAGTATTTTCTTTTCATGTCCTGTCTTGTCCCGTCCCGTCCCGTTTAAGCAATTTTTGCCGTCCTTCCCTACTAAGGATGTGCCCTGTCTTGCTCCGTCTCGTTCTGTTGTCATCTCTATTTTTATTAAGAGAAATATTGGCTAGTATACATTTTCAATACAAAGAGTTTTTGTTGTAAAGTGTATTCATTATAGCAATTTGTTTGCTATGTTTTTCGTATATCAATCGATGCTCAAAAAAAAAAAAAGAAATCGATGCTCATTAAAATTTATAAGTGAATTTTCCTTTAATCGTTTTATATTTATTGTTAATATATAAAACTTAAACTTATACATTAATGACATTTGTCATTGCCTGTGAAGCCATGTGCTTATTGCTTCGATGCTAGTAATATTTGGGCCTTATATAGGATTGGAGTGGGCTTGTATAGGCCCATTAGACTATATGAGCATTACCACCCCTAAATTGAGCAACTTACAAAAATAACTATATTTATAGGGTTATTGAAGTTCAATAACTATAAATATGTTATTTACTAAAAATGACCACACTTTATGTCAACTTCTAGCTGCATGTTTGTATTAATTTTTTATTATTATTATTTATACTGTGATCTTACAATGTACTAAATAAGGTATGGTATGTTACCATAACTGCCAACCTTTTATTATGTCCCTAAATCACTCAAATTTCCATCATTAAATTCCCAACTAATATTTACATATTGAATGCATATCCCGATTCATTCACATAATACAATAGTAAGTTGTATTTATATTCATAAATACAATATATTCACACAATACTAATTATAAAGGTATTCATAAAATTTTGAATATAAAAGAGTATTTATGTCTTTTTCTCATTGTATTTTTGTATATGTTTTTTATTTTTCTATTTATACACTAATACAGTTGTAATTACAATAACTAAATAAGGAAAATATATTACTTGTACAATTAGCATATGAATAATTTGAATTCAAATTGGTGTTTCTATTTATAAAGAGAAAAGGGTCAAATGTCCCCTCAAGCTTTAGTCATATTTCCAACTACACACTTAACCTTTGCGGGGGTCCTATTACCCTCCTGAACCTTTTTATTTTTATATTATTTCACCCTCAGACGCTGATGTGTCCACATACGTGAACTCACCTTCGTGAGGCGCATAACAACGTAATAAAATGTCCATGTGGAGTCCAAATAATCCTCCCAACGGTAACTTTACTCTTTATTTAACCCATACATTTATTTTTCATTCTTTTCTCAACTCATTTATCTCCATCTCTTTTGTTCTTGAACAAAAGCTCTCTCTCTTCTTTGTTCTTCATCCACCATTTTCAAAGCTTGAATTTAGTTGTTGTATCTTCTCCAACTAAGATTGAATTTAGGGTTTGCAATTTTCTCGAATTTCATATTGAACAATCAAAATCTTCCCCAATTCGACAGCTTGATTTTGTTTTTTCACTTTGTGTTATTAGGGTTAGTAATGTCAAACGCAAAATTGAATAAGCTATGCATGGAAGAATCAGACCCAATGCTCAAAACCATAGTACGATGCAAACATGGAAGTTTGTTGCATATGCAGACTTCTTGGTCGAAGTCGAATCCCGGAAGACGATTTTGGTCTTGCCCCTACTATGGTGTATGTTTCTTCAGTTGTTTGATTTTGTTGGGTTTAATTGATGTGAATGTTAATAACATTAATATAT